CATGCTGATTAGCCAATGGGAGGTGTAGCGAAGGTATGGTCAATTACCATGTTTGTCTATTATTAGATAGGATAATAAAAATAACTTTATTTTTGTGAGGATTTTGACATTGTACAGCATTAGTCAGGGGTTGGGTTGTTCTGTACCTTTCCCAAAAGAAAACCACTGACAGGACTTAGCATGGTTGATTGAAACTGAATATGGGGGGTGTGATGAATAATAATAACTAATACTTAACTGAGCACTTGCTATGTGCAGGTACAATTCTAAGTGCTTTACATGGATTGTTTTAGTCCTCCCAGCTACCAATATGGTAGTTACTTTCAATAACTATAAGGTAGTTACTATCAATATCTGTATAGCCCTGGCAGGTTGCGCAGTGGTTAGAGCATCGCCCGGTGGACGGAAGGGTCTCAGGTTTGATTCCTGGTCAAGGGCACTTACCTCGGTTGTAGGTTCCCAGCCCCAGTTGTGGTGGGTAGAGGAGGCAACCAATTCATGTGTCTCATGTAGATGTTTCTCTCTCTCCCCCCTTCCCTCTCTAGAAATCAATGGAAAAAATAAATATCTTTATAAATGAGAAAACTAAAGCTAAGCGATGTCCAGAGTCACCCAACTAGAAAGTAGGGACAGTCAAGGAAAGAATCCAAAAAGATTGACTTTAAAATATGCTCTCTTAACCTTTACTCTCTGTCAAAGAATTTCATAAATTGTTTGTTAAATCCGTCATCACATTTAGTGATATTTAGAGTGTTTGAAATCTGCGATTGTTGCCTTGTCTTTATTAATGCTGTTTTAATTTTTCCCAAAAGAATAAAGTTATCTATTCACTGAGTTACCAAGAAACTTTTTAGGTGCTCTTATTTGTTTAGTTTGACACTAAATAGTAGTCACTTCTAGTATTTTTGTTCATTTCGGGGAATGATAAATTGTATAATCATATCTTTGATAATTTTATGTTGAATGGGCTGTTCTCCTTGAATATTTGTGTTTATGAAATATATTTTATATCAATAAACAACCCATCTCAAAACCAATAAAAAGCATGTATTATTCTTCCTGATAAGTCTTAAACTATACTCCATCAATCCATCCTATTGTGTGGCCTTGCCAATCTTTTGTACCACTTGATACACATAGTTGATTTATGGGTAGGAGTGTTCAGTCCTTCGGAGGAGAGGGTGAGAATCTAGCCTTCACGTCAGTTTGTTATTCTTGGGGAAAATGAATTCACATTCGAATACTATCTTTAACAGACTTGATATTTGACAATATAATTATTATAAGAATTATAATATAAAGGAACTCATTTTTAATGATTAAGCATCTGCTAACAATTCTAAGCTTGCTACCATTTGTGTCCCAGACAAGTGATAAAAAGCATGAAGGAGGACATCACGAAAGACAAAAAGCTGTGGTTCTCAAACTTGAATATACTTCAGAATTGCCTGGGGAAATTCGGCCCCAATGCCAGAGGGTCTTAGTGTAGGTAGATGTGGGTATGATCAAGAAATCTTCATTTTTATAAAGCACCCAGATAATTCTCTCCTTGAATATTTGTGTTTATGAAATATATTTTATATCAATAAACAACCCATCTCAAAACCAATAAAAAGCATGTATTATTCTTCCTGATAAGTCTTAAACTATACTCCATCAATCCATCCTATTGTGTGGCCTTGCCAATCTTTTGTACCACTTGATACACATAGTTGATTTATGGGTAGGAGTGTTCAGTCCTTCGGAGGAGAGGGTGAGAATCTAGCCTTCACGTCAGTTTGTTATTCTTGGGGAAAATGAATTCACATTCGAAAACCATCTTTAACAGACTTGATATTTGACAATGTAATTACTATAAGAATTATAATGTAAAGGAACTCATTTTTAATGATTAAGCATCTGCTGACAATTCTAAGCTTGCTACCATTTGTGTCCCAGATAAGTGATAAAAATCATGAAGGAGGACATCACGAAAGACAAAAAGCTGTGTTTCTCAAACTTGAACATACTTCAGAATTGCCTGGGAAAATTCGGCCCCAATGCCAGAGGGTCTTAGTGTAGGTAGATTTGGGGTATGATCAAGAAATCTTCATTTTTATAAAGCACCCAGATAATTCTGATTGCAGGTGGTAGTAGGACTTACATTTCAGTAGTGTGAAAGGTTGGGAGGAAGCAAGGACCCAGGAGGCTCTTTGTTGTTTTTGACTGTTCATGTCCTTTCTTTTCTTTATCATACGTAATTTTAAGAGTAATATTTCCCACCCTAGCCAGTTTGGCAATGTGGATAGAGCATCAGCCTGCATACTGAAGGGTCCAGGTTCGATTCTGGTCAAGGGCACATACCTTGGTTGCAGGTTCCCCAGCCCTGGTCGGGGTGCTTGCAGGAGGCAATCAATCCATGTGTCTCTCACATTGATGTTTCTCTCTGTCTCTTCCCTCTCTCTCTCTAAAAATCAATGGAAAAATATCCTCTGGTGAGGATTAACAACAAGAAAGAGTAATATTTCCCTTTAGCTCTTTATCACAGATACAGTTATAGGCTTTGCTTTGAATGGTAGCATCTTCTCTGTATAGATTTTAGTTTAACATTTGATAAGAGTTGATGGAAGTTTGTCATATTTCAGAATTATCCTTATACTAACAGAGCACCAGCAAAGAATAACAGCATATTGACTTTCTAATGATAAATAGAGAAAATGGGCTATTTTTGTTAATGTTAACATTTTAAATGGAAGAGAATGACTAGTGGCCTTGAAATTTTGAACTGCACTGTACTTCATTATACCTACAGAAGGGGAAAAACAAAAAATTTGGTTAAAATAGTTTTGGACTAAAGACAGAACTATCCTATTCTAGAACAAAACTATATACTTGACAATAGTTACAAAGGGAACAGTTATTCTAGACATTTTTAGATCATAAACAATTTCTTTGAAAAGTATGTGAAATGCAAAAATTACCTTTGGTTTCTAAGGTTTTCTTGAATATCTTCAGAAAACTTAAAATATGCCCATAAGTAATTGACTTAAATAAGCAATATCGGTCTTTAGGTGCTTTTATGGGGGTTCCATGATGTAAGCAGTCATTTACCTAAGAGGGGTGTCTGAGGAGCAAGGATGACAGTGTGATAGGTGTCAGTCAACCTCTATGTCTGGAGCTTGAATTAGAGTCTGTGTGTGGCCAGAGGAGGAAGAGGTGGTGATGTCTTGATATCCTATCTGTCTGGAGCTTGAATTAGAGTCTGTGTGTGGCCAGAGAAGGAAGAGGTGGTGATGTCTTGACAAGATCCAGAACTGATTAGGATAATATTTGTAACTTAATGGAAAAGACAGAAATGAAAGCAACTAACCAGAATAAAAGGCAATCTAAATAAATGCTAAATAGAGAGGTTCAGGCAGGTTCTATAAGGAAGCAGTGATCAGTTCTGATGGGGGAGTTAGCTGCGGAGCGGTTATATGTAAGGAGACATGTCACTGAGAAGGTGGCAATTGAACTAGGCCTTGAAGGATTTAGAAGAGAATACCAGGTGAGGAAATGAATGATAAGAGGCACGAAAGAGGACCATTCCAGAGGAACAGTGGGTAATCAGATTTGACTGAGGTGAGCGTAGGTTTGTAAAGGGAACTTGAAGCCATAGAGGGCTTGCATGTCACGCTGAGGAATCTGAACTTCATTGAGTAAGCAGAGAGCAGCCATTGAGAAATTTTAGACGAGGGATACAAGCTAGCCTTTTGAGGTTTGGGGGAGTAGGTTGGGGGTGGCATTTAATAAGTGATTTCAGTATGAAGAGGAATTGAAATAGAAGATTGGTCAATGCTATTGTAGTCCAAGCCAGAGAAGGTAAAGGTCTACACCGTGGCTAGGGCAGTCAGTAAAAATTAAGAATATTGATATTCATTGAAGGATAGAAAATGGACATTAATACATTTCCTAATAGATAATAAAACTTTCATAAATCATCAATTAATATTGATTGATTTCTTACATTGTACTGTATTACAGTATACATGGATGAGTCAAAAATAGTCCCTGTGCTCTGGATACTTAAAATATTAACAAAATAGTCTCTTCCTCTGCGTTGCCTATGGAGGTGGCAGCCATCTCCTACTGGGCACCATGGCTGCCCTCAGACCTCGTGAAACCCAAAATTGTCAAAGAGAGGACCAAGAAGTTCACCTGGCACCAGTCAGACCGATATGTCAAAATTAAGCGGAACTGGCGGAAGCCCGGAGGCATTGACAATAGGGTGCGTAGAAGATTCAAGGGCCAGCTCTTGATGTCACCTGGCACCAGTCAGACCGATATGTCAAAATTAAGCGGAACTGGCGGAAGCCCAGAGGCATTGACAATAGGGTGCGTAGAAGATTCAAGGGCCAGCTCTTGATGCCCAACATTGGTTATGGGAGCAACAAGAAAACAAAGCGCATGCTGCCCAGTGGCTTTTGGAACTTTCTGGCCCATAACATCAAGGAGGTTGAAGTGCAACAGATCTCACTGGGCTGAGATTGCTCACAACGTCTCCTCAAAGAACCTCAAAGCTGTTGTGGAAAGAGCAGCCCAGCTGGCCCTCAGAGTCACCAATCCCAATGCCAGGCTGCTCAGCGAAGAAAATGAATAGAAAGATTGTGTACACATTGTATTTGTGTTAATAAAATCATAAAATTCTGCCAAAAAGCAATATTAACAAAACGGGCATTGAATGAATGCATTATAATTGTAAAAATAATTACTAATGGCAAGGAACTATAGAGGGCTATGTAAATAGTGTAAGGATTTAATAGTTTGAAAAAAATATATTACAGTAATCGAAGTTTACCAAAATAATCTGGAGCAAATTAACACTTGGATATTGTTTAAAGGTGTCCAACCTAATTAATGTAGAGAAGGTATTCAAATGTCAGATGAAGGGCAGGATGGCACACTCTTTGGAGTGTCCAAACCTCAGATGTCTGCACATTCTACATTTCATACCGTTACATCTTTATAGACACTTTTGTACTAAATTCTTGAGGGATAATATAGCATATTACATTAATGCTCTCTAAGAGTTTTAAAAAATATATTTGCAAGTGTGTACAACTTTCGGGAGGGAAAATAAGCATTTTCGTAAAAATAGAATTCGCCTTTTTTTACTGACCAGTTACTAAAAGCTACCAAGGATAGTTTATTCAGTAAGACCTAAGGTGGAAAATATTCTTAGACTATTCACGCTGTTAAATCTCTGCAGATTTAGTTTTATCCAGTCAAATTAATGCAAAACCCCAATGCAAGCATTTGGATTTTGGAAACTTTGGAGGAGTGTCATTTCCTAATAGTCATTATTGGTTTTACATTATTTTTTCACAGGGGAACTGATCACAGCCGCACATGAGCTTGGAGTAAGTATTAGTTTTATTGTTTAATCAATGCTCTCATTAACAGTTTTAGGAATTAAGAAAGTTTAATTAAGCATGGAATAAAGTAGATTAATTTATTTTTAAACCCCAGTTTTTAGTAACTTATAAGTACAGTACGTGACAATTTAAGTTTTAAATCCAATTAAACTAAATTATAAAGCAAAGTCTTTACTATATGTACAGTAGCTGGCTTATTATCACCCTAAATTTTGTATAAGCTGTGGAGAATAAATTAAATCGGGTTAACAGTTCTAATAAGTTTATTATTTAATAAACTTTATTATGGTGCATGATCCCTTTAGGCAAGACCTTAGGACTGTCAGCATGGTGGTAATCCGATAGCAGTGTGGTCTTTCCACTTTCTCACCAATACGATATTTCAGAACCTGCTTCTTTTTTTTCAATGGCCTTTTAAAATGACCCTAATGTACTATGAACCCAGAGAACAAACTGCTTAAGAATTGACAATGAAATATGTCACCCTTTCTCTAGGTGACATACCATGTGATAGACGCTGCCAAATCCACTAAAGAAAATATTTATTCGTATTGGCACAAAAGGATTACAATAGAAAGCCCCTATTCAAACAGTTAGTCATCAGCTCTTAATCTTATACTTGCCTGAGGAGAGGGTACTTGTTAATTAAAGCCAGTGTGACCCTTCGTTTACTAGATGAGAACCTTCTAACTTGTGAATTTTTCCGCAGGTTGCCCATCCTCCTGGCTATCCTTTGTTCACTCTGGTGGCTAAACTGGCCATTATACTATTTCCTTTTGGCTCCGTTGCCTACCGGGTCAATTTTCTGTGTGGCTTATTTGGAGCAGCAGCTGCATCATTACTTTTTTTCACCGTTTTCAGGTAAAGTAGTTGATTAGTTAAAATCCACTTGTACTAACTGGAATTGTAATTTTCTTATTGCCCAAATACATACATTAAAAAATGATTTTTGTTATTGTTTGAATGGTTTTCCAATATCACCCATGCGATTTCACTTTCTTAATTTACAGTAATTTCATATGCATTTGACCCTAAATGATTACACAGTTAATTCTGCTTCATACAATGGCATGAAAGTATCACCAGTTCATTATCACAGTTCTCTGGTTAGGCAGAACTAATAAGGTTTGTCGTTTTATGAAAATGCAGATGGGCCAGTTTAACCCAACCATATGAAGTTCATCTTTGGGTAAATGATAAATGTCCTTTAATTACTCACAGTATTGCTGATGGGCAGCTGCCCATCAGGTTCAGAGCTAATACCAAATTCTATTGTATTTAAATATGCACATGTTGTATACCTTTTGAAATGAGGCTGTTAACAAAAGAAATCATTTGGGATGTGGTTTTAGTAAGGTTTCACTTTGTTCCATTATAGCTGTAGGGAAAATAGGCAAATTAGACCCCACTTATTTCACTGATGGAAGGCTTTCTTAGTTTTGAAGGCTACAGCGCTGCTTTTAAAAAACGGGTCATTAGTTTAAGGATATTGGTGAACTCATTTGTCTTTGCTATTTCTGTTTCCTTCATTCTTAACTCAGTCTAACCTATGCCTAAGAGGATTAGAGTGAAAAATACAAATTATACTTCCTGCAAAGGGAATGCCAAATTAAAACGCTTCTTTCAAAAACTATTGTAGGTTTGATTATAAAACAAATAACTTTTGTATGTAAATATAGTAGAATTTGAACAGACATAATTTTAAATGTCATTTTGGAGACGAATGTTTTTATTTTGGTTAGTCGTAATATTGCCCCTCAGCTAAATTATTTTCTAAATTCTCTTTTAATTATTTATAGTAAGGTAAAAGTTAACATAATTATGACTTTATACTTTTAAATCTATTTGTAGAAAGCTTTCAGATTCAGATGTTATAATTGTTGATCATTCACTAAATTTTTATCTATATTATTTAATTTGTTTCTATTTTAGTCTTACAGGTTTTCAGTGATAGCCAATTTTTTAAGCATGAAATGTTTAAAGTAACATCTCTGCTTGGATTTATTTGTATTATGAATGTTATTAATATTTTCTTATTCTAAGTAATTAGAATAATCTTTTTAGATTGCTCCTTCTGAGTCTTTTATAATTAAGAATCTATCATTATTTCTGTTGATAGGAAAACTGATCTTTTTTATTTTTAAGTGTTCAGGTTGAAATTTAGACTTACCTGTTCTATATTGAATGTGTGAGTTATTAATTTTCACAAGACATTTAAGACAGACATGTAAAGAAAATTAATACTTGTATTTAGGTAGTTCATCTGTATTTTAGAAGATCATTTCTATAACATATACAAATGTTTAAATGCTGTGTGGATATAAATAGCTTTTATGCAAATAAAGAGCTTTTCTTTCTAAAACTTTTCTATATTTTTCAGTATATGAATTGCTGATGCTATTCTACATGGAAACCACTGTAAAAATCATGTGTAAAAATCTTTATCTTTATAGAATCCAAATAGTTCTGGACAATAATTTCCCTTTGAGTTTTCTAGATTTTAAAATAGCTTTTATTAATTATTATGCTCGACTCTAATGGGTTTTGGATTAGCACACTAGTCTGTAACCCTTTTCTTTTAATATGTAGTCTTAATGATAAATTTATGTACTTGCTGTTACATGTTTTAAACCAAAAACTCTTAGTATGATAAACTGGATATTTAAGTTGTTTTAGTAATATAGTACTTTGAAAAAGTTGCTTTCTTTCAGAAAAGGGATCTAACAATATTATCTCTTACATGCATTTTAATATGAAAATACTTCATTATTTTGAATACAAATAATTGACAAGGTACACGTCCTTTGGGAGCAACCTAGTTCAAGTGGCAAATCTGTTTTGTCAAACAATAGACACCCTTCAGGAAAGAGCAAGCCATCTCTATGGTAATAGGACTAACAGTAGCCTATTGATTGAGTGGAAGAAGACATTATACAATGTCAGCTGGCTTGTTACAATTTCATTTGTTGTATGACCTGAACTTAACCTTTAAAACCTTTCTTCTGTGAATATAAACCCAACAGCAGGATGCAGTTTTTGTACAGCCATTACAGTGACGGCTTTTTTTCCAGCCCCACCATACAGTAAATGTATTCCTTTGCAGGTTGACTCCTTTATCAGACTTCGTTGAGGAGACATTTCACTACTTTATTCATTGACACACCAAATCATCATTCTATTTTGTTGTTACATATTGAGGGGTTTTGATCCAGGAAGCTGTTTTATTCTTTTTTTCCTGTCACTTAAGAGAACATTACTGTACATATGGGATTAATGCTGACTGGTGTGCAGTAAATTAATTCTTTTAACAGGTTTGGTTTTTTTTCAGGTAATTGTTCGCATAGCATTCACTATATTTAGCTCTTGGGTGGACATAAAGACCTTCTGTACCTTTTAAACAAAGATTGTATTTCAAAAGCAAATTTCTGTTTAAATGTGTTGATGTAAAAAGCTCCATTTTTTTCAGTAAACATGACTTGATTGAGAGACGGATTTATTCGTTGTTTCCAATTACTATGTAATTTTTGCCTTTCTTCCATCTTTCTCTTGCTTTTAAAAGCAGTAAGATGTCATTAACACTGCATTTTTTTGTCAATCTTTTCTAGTGGTTGGCAAGAACTCATTTCCCTAATGTGGAAAGCATATGAGTAAAACAGCACATTGAAAGCTATCTGTATCACTGTAGTTTATTGAATTAAAAATAGTAAGATTGTGCCGGTTGTTTCTGTATGTATTTATATATTGTCCCCTTCAGGGGTACTTTTAAGCATGCATTATGTTAAGGGAGTTTAATGTAATACATTTAATTTATATTACATAGTATTCATTTTATTAATGTGTGCATCTGTGCATTTAAGACTGTAATACAGTTAGTGCTTTATAGGAACTGGGATTTTCTCTTTTTTTAAGGCCATTAAAGTAAATGATTTTTGAGTTTGATTGTATGATATTTAAAGTGTTAAATTTGAAATTCACAAATCCCATTAATACAACATAAAAAAAGTTATAGAAAATGTAAAGCACTAACATGAACACCACTTAGCATTGCCTTGTACTTGAATTTCAAACTTATTTCCTAAGAAACATCAGACTAGGTTCTATATACTAATAAGGAAGGAATAGTGAAATCACTACCATTAAACATCAATGTGCTTACATTTCATATATCCTGGTATCACTAAAAGAGAATGGATAGCATTGCATAAAAATTCTTTACCTCAGGAAAAAATTTAAATTGTTTATGATCTCAGATGAGGGCATATCTTGTATCATTTACTTTGGTTGCTGCAAGGCAGGGAATATAGTCTCAACAGGTTTGGGAGTCAGCATATCCTTTTCAAACTGTTAGGGGCCAAAAGGAGCGATAGAAGGACTGATTCAGCAATATTTGTTGAGCACCCAGGTGAGTCGAAAGTAAACTTGTTTTAGTTTTTATAATCAAAAGTCAGTGCTTATTTTAAAGAAAGACAAAATTACCAACTTTTAAACAGGCAGTTTTTAAAATATTTTCTCTAAAAGGCACTGTTTCAGGAAACTTGCATAAAAAAACTTTGAGACCATTAATATTGCACAGTAAGAAATCAGGTCTTTTAATGTCAAGCAGGTTACCTAGAATATATGAATATTAATAATAATTAAAGGTGTATGGAAACTGTGCCTGTTTACTACAAAGAACCTACAACCAACTTCAGTAATATTTAAATATCTTTTGGAAAATTGTTTTGTGCCATTATTTTATTTATGGGGTATTTAATTTTTTATAAGTTGTATGTTTCTAAACATTATGCTGCTGCTAAAAATTAATTTGATTAGGAAAAGGAACACTTGATTCTGAGCACTGTGTCTGCTATTCTTAGAGCTTCAGCTAAGATTCCATTCAATAAAGAATAGAAAAATGGCATACCTTAGAGAATGTAGAATCTTCTGCTTAAGGGACATTTGGATGTTCCAACTCAAAGAGTATTCTAGATGATTGCGGTAGAGAATAATGTGAAACTCTGCCTAATTTCAGAGGTAACTATGCATAAGTAACAAATAGTCACCAAGTTTTTGTAGTTGAAGAAGAATGAAAAGTACTGGAGCATTAATTTCCGTTCAGGAGACTATCTGTCTTGATCCCTGGTTAATTGATCATATATTTCTCTCATACTTGTATTAAAATTGCATTGACTCAGACTGGGTAAGCATATTAAGAGCTTGGTTCATTTGCATTTTCTTATAAGTAGAGAGACATATTAGACTCAAATAGCAGCACTTCATTTTGAAGGGAAAAAAGCAGGGCAAAAACTCTTTTTTAAGACTGTAGAGTCTTTTCTGACAGCTAGTCAGAGTTAGAATTAGTTCAAGGAAATGTTAATAATGCACCGCCTGGCCTAATCCCTTTGATATCACCAGGTATCCTCCTGTTCATGGGTTAATTGCTTTAAAAGCGAAGGCAATATTCTGAGCGGTGGGCCGCTTCACCTTTTCACAGCTGTTACCATTGAGTGACAACTAAATCCCATGTGTAAGATGAGGAAGAGCTCAATCTCCAATTGGGAGAAAATTTATGTAAACCACAATCCCTTCAGAATGTACGGAAGTCATAGACTTTCTTGATTTACTCTGCTTTTCCCAGAAAGCTCTATTGTTCACTTTCCTAAGTCCCATCAACCCTTTGTAGCAGAATATCACAGCGGCAGCAGATAGCTTGAAATATATAAATGCTATCATAGCTCTGATTAATAGCAGTGCTTATGAGTCAAGTCTGATAACAGTGCAGCTCTCCACTCAATTTCAGATACTGCTAATGGAATCTGTCTTCTCCAATTGTAATATGAGAAGGCCTAATTTGCCATGGAGCTTGGAGCTGTCACCAGTAG